ATATCGTTACAGTGTAGGTAATAACATAAAGCTCTCAGCCCGGAATAGTTGAGCCCGAAGCTCAAACCTAAATATTGGAGAACAAAGCACGTTCCGGATGACGCGGGTCTTGTCAGCTTCCTTCCAACTCGTCTGCCAGGTGTACACGATCGAGCGGCGCTGAGCATCCTTGTACGCAGGCTAGCCCGTTCGAAAAGTGTAATCATTCAGCCATGTAGTAGCAGCTGCGGCATGTCCCTTCACCGCTTACATCTTGCTGCCCCTTCGCTGCGAGAAACCTTTAGGCCACAACCCTTAAACCCTAAACCTGCAACCTCATCCTGCAAGAGTTGCTGCTGGCAGGACAAGGCAGGCTCCGACAGATCTGTGCCGCGGGCTTGTGGTGCAGGCTTGATGTCACATGGATTCATCATGTGTCTGAGTGAGCCTGTAGCTGCGATGTTCGAAACGCCGAAGGGCAAGATTAGGAAATGTGCCGGTTCTCCTTGGTCCAAGAGCTACCCTCAAGGCAGCGTGCCTCGTGGTGGAAACTTGTCGAAATAGCAGGCTGAATCCAGTGCCCAATTTCATTTCCGTCGGGTAAGCTGTCTGACTGAGGTGACTCTGATGCAAATAGTCGACTCGTCATATCATCAGCTGGCCAACCATTGGAGCCAAGCAGCCGCTTGGCAGATGGACTTATCACTCATGCTCCGTCGTGTGCCCGTGTGAGGTGCTAGACTTGATCTCGTTCGATCCGAGGTGTGGTGGTAGAGCATGCTCCGGCGAAACAGCAGTTCTCATCATGTCTGAAGCCCTCAAGTATGGTTGTCGCACTGGATATTATTGAAACTCCGAAGAAAAAAGTGTGACAAAGAAGCCAGTCGGCTGCAGAAGCAAAAAAAATTGGTGGAAGAGGATGCCGAGATGAAGGAAGTGCGACCGAGATTTTCGGAATGCATCAGAGAGTCGCATGCTCCCGGTTAATAAATCCTGTAGAAGTGTTTCAAACAGCTCAGGATTGACAAAACGAACTTGGGAGCACATGCTCGACTGCGTGAAGAAGCACGATGATCTGGTGGCAGACTCTCAGAAGCTGCAGGCTGTTCTTCCTGAACTGACTAAAGCCCAACTCAAGGTGTCTGTTCTGGAAAAGGCTTTGGAGAGGTTGAGATAGTGACCTGGTTGTCTCCTGGGGGCATGGGAGGGGGATCCCATGGCCGTCGAACGGAGGCGCGCGGAGCAAAAAACACATCCTTGTGAAGATTGCTTCAGCTGTTAGCCTCGCCTTTCCCCTTTTCCGAATTTGTCCTTGCTCGAGTTCGCTCAGGCAGTGTCCTTGGATTGGGTCGATGCTTGGGCCTTGGTGTCTCTGCCCAGGGTGTTCAGTTGTCGCGCACTGGCAAACCCCCTGACATGTTGCAGTTTTTTGCAGCCTCGCAGCTTGTCAACTAGAAATGATTGGCTTTGAAGTTTACCTTGAACCCATTTGCAAACAGACAGACACGTATTGCATCGGAAGTGCAGGCCCATGGATAGGCGAATGTGCCAGGTGCATGAGCTAGTTTGACCCATGGCTTGTCCGAAGCGATGTCATTGCTATCGGTGCTTGCACGAGAAATGGAAAGATCGTTGCAGATTTCTCGATGCTGATGGACCGGTCCTGCAACATAATATTTAAATGAGGTTTGAATATAAGAGAGCCTTTGGCGCGTGCCAGGACGTTACAAATCCTGGCTGATTTTTGGTCCTGATGGCTTGGGCTGTATGCTTTGTCAATCCTACGCGTTGCAGAAGCCGGAGAAAGTCAGGAAGGTGACACCCTGGCAGCAATGCAAGAAGGGATCCCCGGCCGTGCCGCTTAGCTGTCCAGCGTGATTAAACTAAAGAACGACTGACTCAACTCCTCTGAGTGTGGGACCTTCCAAGGCCAGGTGCTGGTCCAACGATACTTCAGCTGGAGGATGCCTTGCGGCATGGCAATATCAGCCGCAAGAGTAAACAGAGGTGCAGATTCCATGAGGAAGCGAGACTATGGCACGTGGGCGGCTCGGAACCACCGCCGACTGATGGTCCTGAGAAGGTCATGCGGTCAGTGACAGCATACCAACTCGCCCTCTCGATGGAAGTGCTGTACTCGACTTTGGGGGCCCAGGCGGTAGAGTATCAGAAGCGCTGCGCAGCAGCTCGCAGGCAGGAATTGTGTTTAAGACATAAAGGCGATTTCGGCCGCCAATGCCATTCTTGCATATCAGGCTTCGCCCGGACCTGATCCCCATTACGCACTCGGACCGACACAGCCACTTCAACATCCTTGACTCTTATGCCGAAGTGTTAGACCGGCAGACTCGGTCCAAGCTGCTTTCATCTGGAGTTCGAGCATTGGCTCTGGCTCAGGACTGCCTGCTATCAAGTTTAGCGTATTTTTTATATCGTGAAGCTTGGTTCAGGACGCTCGTCAAGACTTCGAGATAGTGAAATGCCGAGCTATCACCGGCAACTATGAGACTGTTGATTTCCTGTTGGATCTTGCCAGCACAGGCGGCGCCAAGGAACTGGGGTTCAAAGCAGGATTAGACTCTTTGCTTCCGGGTTCTCGTGCAGGAGTCGCTGCACAAAGCCAAGAAGCTGTGGGAGAGTGTGCACACATTCTGTGAGGGACGAGAAGACCTCTTGAAGTTCTTCAAGGAATCCGATGTGGTGACCTGGTTGGATCATAGATCGAAGGTTCAGACTCAGACTTTTCTCTGCTAGCTTGCCAAGGTCATTACTGCAGACGGAGAGCCGGCAGAACAGCTGTGTCCGCTCATGGTCAAGAACCTTGGCCTCAATGTCCTCGCTTCCTTCAGATGTCACCTTCATAGTGGCCAGAAAACACTAGAGAACTGCATGCATGCAGACAAACGAACGGCTGAGCTCATGGAGTGTCTAATCACTGGCTACTCAGATGCCCAGAGCTTGGGCGGATTTGCTCGAGCAATCAGAAATTCATGTAGATTGAAGGCCAGCTATGCTAGACATTGTGAGGAGCTGGACAGTGTTCTTCAGAAAGCATCCACAGGAGGGTGGAGCTTTGCGCCACAGAGATTTTCAACCGTGCTGCAGGTTTCTGAGACGCTGTGCCTCAACATGGGTCCGGCTTTGAAAACCCTACAGGAAGCCGTAGTTCGTGGAGGTCAAAACAGGGATTGGGCCATGCGAGTCCTGCAAACCTTGAACCCGGAGAACATGCTCCTCTTAGCTTTGCTTTGCGAGCTGTGCAAGGTGGCCCAGCGATATGTGCATAGATGGGACCGCAGCGCAGACAAGACGACCCTGGCTGACACAGCTCTTGAGTTTGAAAACTTCAAGCTGGAAGCCAACAGGCTGTTCAGCTTCCGCTCGCTGGACGGCGACTTGCAACAGCCGTTGGTCCTTTCTCCAGATTGCACATCCGGCATGCCGCAATTGCTTCGTGCAAGTTACAATCTCTTGCAGCAGGAGGTTTCATAATATTGTAAAATTGACACACGTGCTCTCATGGACTTGGTTTTAGGTGCGCAGCCTGACAATAATTGCTGCAGGCAGTGATCCATGAGGGGATGATGGTGTACTTCCGACCAAAGTGGGATGAGAAAACAAACCGTGAAGCCATGGCCAAGGAATTGGGTGCCATCCAGAACATCCTGACACATTTCGTGGACGGTATCAATCTTTGGCACAATACTGCTGTGGCATCTGCCTTCGCTCCACTCGATGTCTCCACCTGGGCTAAGCGGTGTTCTGACGATACCCTGCCTGGCCCTCACAAGGAGAATTCTATATTGAATCAAGGATCCTCGTAGTCGGTCCAGGCAAACGATCATGAAGCCGCTTGCGCAGACGTTGGGCGTGGAGGCCGTGCCAGGAGTTGTGAGATTTGGTATTTGCGACTCACCCCGTCTCTGGGTTAGGTCGCTACCCTTTCCAAGCAGTATCTA